TTTTCAGCTTTATTATGTAGAATTATTACAGTTCGACTGCACATACATATTATATTGCATGTAAGTACGTATATACAGTATACTGCACATTGTTTTTAGTTTTCATGTATGTACTAATTATTGTCTCTAAGAACAGATTAGATCTCTAGCTTTTTAAATTTACATAGTCTTTGCCCATTTTTAATTGGATTATTTTATTTTTCTGCTGTTGAGTTGTAAGAGTTCCTTGTACATTTTGGATATTAACCCTTTATTGCAAATTTTTTTGCATATATTTTCTTCCATTTCATAGATTTCCTTTTCATTTTGTTGATGGTTTCTTTTGCTGTGCAGAAGCTTTTTAGTTTGATGTAACCTCATTTGTTTATTTTTCTTTTTGTTGCCTTTGCTTTTGGTGTCAAGTCCAAAAAATATCATTGCCAAGACCAATGTCAAGGAGCTTTTTCCCTATGTTTTCTTCTAGGAGATGTATGGTTTCAGGTATTACATTCGTATCTTTAACAAATTTTGAGTTGATTTTTGTGTGTGGTGTAAGATAAGGGTCTAATTTCATTCTTTTGCATGTAGATATCCAATTTTCAAAACACCTTTTCTTGAAGAGACTCTTCTTTCCCCATTGTTTATTCTTGGCTCCTTTGTCAGCCATTAATTGACCATATATGTGTGTGTTTATTTCTGGATTCTCTGTTCTGTTCCTTTGATCTATGTGTCTTTTTTTAATACCAATATCATACTGTTTTGATGACTGTAGCTTTATAATATTGTTTGAAATCAGGAAATGTGATATTCTTTTTTTTCTTTTCAAGGATGATTTGACTATTCAGGGTCTTTTGAGTTTCAATATGAATCCACAAGGAAAATTTTAGGGTTTTTTTCCTTGTGAAAAATGCCATTGGAATTTTGATAGGAATTGCATTGCATATGTAGATCACTTTGGGTAGTATGGACATTTTAACATTATTAAGTCTTCCAATCCATAATTATAAAATATCTTTCCATTTATTTGTATCTTCAGTTTATTTAATCATTTTGGGTAGCTTTCAATGTACAGCTCTTTCACTTCCTTGGTTGAATTTGTTCCTAAGTATTTTATTCTTTTTGATGCTATAGCAAATTGATAAATTCCTAGAATTATACAACCAACCAAGACTGAATCATGAATAGAAAATCTGAGTAGACCTATAACTAGTAAGGAGGTTGAATCTGTAATCAAAAATCTCCCAACAAAATAATCTTTTATATACTGAGGTAATCTAGCTCCTACAACTTCAGACTTTGGGCATGTAATTTGGAATTTTGGTGAAACATAATTAGCAACTCAAACTAGTATATACAAACAAAACAGTGTTTATTATAGGAATCGACCTTAAGTCACTAAAATTCACTAGGAATTTTACAAAATCAAGGGAAGTAGAGTGATGGACCTCAGAATCTGAAGCAAGTGTCTCTGTGGAGATGACTGGAAACTCTGGGAGTACTCTCTTCATCTCTCTACTTCATATCTCTTTTGATGTTGCTTTCTCCAGATAAGCTTCCTTTGCATATGTCATCCTGCAAGAAGGAGTGCAAGTAGCTCCATTAGAGAAATTTAATTAAAAGCTCAATGAGGTGCAGCCACATACCTACTGGAATGGCAAACAAACAAACAAATGACAGGAAAAGTTCTCTGAGAATTTGAATTGCTGAGCAAGTGGAATGCTCATAGATTGCTGAGGAGATTGGAAAATGGCCAATATGGGAAACAATATGGTTCCTGCACACAAAATGACACATATACTTACTTGCAACCCAGGAACCTCGCTCTTAGGTACTTATCCAAGATTAATGAAAACAGTATGTCCACACAATGACTTATGCACTAGTGTTTACAATAGCTTTTTCACAATAACCAAAAAATTGGGACAGATA